CCAGAAGCAACCAAAAACCCTGCAACCACGGTGATGTAACCCTTGATTAATTTTTGGACTGTATATGTGCCATACATGAGCAGCCACTGGAATTCAAAACTGCATGGCACTAACATCTTTATGGGAATATGTTTTTCAACAGCTTTCTCTTCATCCTGCTGATTGGGATGCTACCTACTGGAAGTTGAGACCAAATCGATGAACTTTGGTTGTTCAGTACTTGTGGAGAACTGGTGGAATAGCAACATGAAGGTTTCAATGAGGATGTGTGTCACACTAGTAACCTCTAGATATTGATCTAGATCCAGATCATGATCAGTGTATTTCTTGCTGTCTAGATTTCCTCCAGGTCCTTGTATTGAAGCTGAACAGACAAACATCATCCCCTCCAGTGGCTAGTAGTTCACCATTGGAGGAAAATGAGATGGAATTTATCGAGTCTATATGGCCAGTAAGGGTGTGTGCCTCTGTAAATGACAGAACAGGAGTAGAGGCCATGATTGTGCAGAAGAGAGTTAACCAACACGTGTACATTTACATCACGGTATGATCATGATTATGATCAAGTGGTCAATATATTGAAAGCAAGTTGGGTGGCTGTGTGGAGGCCTCTGGAGCTGGCAGCACAGCTATAGGTCACATGATTTTTTGTCTTCGAATGTTGTCCTTGATGGCATCACAGGACCAGATTTCAAGACAACAAGGCAATTTGTGATTTTACTGATATATATATGGCTGACTTGTTTTATGCATAGGTTCCACATGTACAGTTCTTTGCAAAGCTTTCTCTTATTCAGGCATCTAAGCTTGGATCTTTGATAAGGTTGCCTCATGCTGATGCCTGGCTCATATTAGCTGCCTCATTTTGGTCTTCAAACCTTTCTCCTTAATTATAACGAGCATATTTCCTAGGCTGCAGCTCTGTTATTGTGATATGGTTGCACATGAGCATGCCTTATCCCACACTTACGTTCTGCATCCTCAGCAAAGCTTTTCTTTCATTGTAGGCATCTGAGCTTGAATATTAATTATCTTTGGTTGAGACAGCCTCATGTTGATGCCCAATAACCTGGGCTTATATATAAAGCCACCTGTACATGTGAAATCTTACTGCTTGACTGCTGCACATTCCTCAGATAAAATGCCTTTTTTATATGCTCGTCCTATTGGCACAAGCAAGGTAACCAGTTTGCAAATCAATCTACATCTCACTCAAAGGGATTTCAAACAGATAACTAAGACTCCTGGAAAGGCTTTCCTTTACACTCATCTTGCTGCAGTTTGTGTCAGCATCAAGACTGAAACCAAAGTCCCTGCCATTCCAGGCCACAATATTCCAGTGGCCAACATGGATCTCAGCATGATTACAGCCATTTGCATAAGTCTGTGAAAACACATTTTTTATTTTTGTCCCTCATGTTCCTGATGTAAGCCATGGGAACAAACGGCAACACAATATCCGGAGAATTTCAGGCCAAAGCACAGATGTAAACATCTATCAGATTGGACCAAAGTGAACTAAATAGCAAAAGTTGTTGTTTGGGTAAGCGGCAGTTCCAGCGAGTCCAAGGTTGTCGTTAAGGGCAAGAGGCATCGCGTTGCCGCTTGTTCCCACGGCTTACATCAGGCACGTGAGGGACAAAAAATAAAAAACGCATTTTCACAGACTTATGTAAACGACTGTAAAACACACATATCTCAGCTCCCTTATCTCAATATCAAAGATATTGTCACAGTCTGACACCGCACCATACATGACACTGTTGTGGCCATCGGGGGTGATTGCTTTCCTATATCAGCACATTATCATCCAAAGGCAATGATCAATGGAGCATTAAAGGAACTGCTGCCAGGTTTTGACTGGCATGGAGAGATTGGTGTGGTGGCACTTGGGCGACAAGTTCCATACAAAGTCAAAATATCAAATGCCTTGGTTATCAAAGCCATTAACAAGTGAGTTTACATCATCCTATGTATGCTTCTCTGGCTATAATCACTGGTCCTGGCAGATTCATTGCTGGTTACCTCCAGCAAGTCCATGATGGCAAGAGTGTTCCTGCAGCTATGGGGTAGAGCTTCTTTTGTGTACATGTTCAAGTTCTGGTACAATCCCAATTCCTCCGTCTGCTTCATGTTTCCTCTCAGGAGCATGTAGACCAATGCATTTTTGATAGAAGTAAATTGTTGGTGTTTAGCATAATGATAGTTGCAAGTCTGCTCAGCAACATCCTTACTGTAATCAGTCAGTAGAATCTATATATCCTGGGGTGTTATAATACACACTAGTTTCTGACATAGATTGCCTTCTGGGTTTTGCAATTGTAGACAGCATAAAATGGGCCAGATGTTGCAAAGGTATCAGAAATATGAGTTGACTGAGCAATGCTCATTGCAAACAACTCTGGGCTTGCTTCAACTGTATCATAGTTGAATCTTTTCAAAACTTGGTGCAATCCAGCAGTTGTCTCAGCATAACTGGTACACTTTATAATGATTGGTATAATTGGACTGGATTTACCGCTGGCCAAAAAGGGACTGCGTGATGTGAGTAGAACTCATGCATCAATGACAGATGGGAAAAAACCCCAGGGTTTGTACCTCCAATAACAGCATAGAGGTGGTCCTCAGGAATCACCATGAAAGAAGGACCTTTGTGAAATCCGGGGAGTCCCAGTTCAACAACACATGTAAAATCCTTCCATTTTTGGAAGATCATCAATCTCCAGATATGGAAGGTGTGAGGTGTGTCATTTATTTGCACATCTGACTTGCTTCTGATTTGCGAGGTCCGCAAATTTGAAATTTGCGGACCCCCGCAAATAGCACGCAAATGATAAGCAAATGATAAGTAAAATTAAAATTTGCGGACCCCGCAAATGATAAGCAGATAAAGAGCAAATACATAATCTGCTTATAATTTGCGTAGGATTTGCGGAGCCCGCAAATGATTGCTTGCCCCTAGTGTGAGTGGTTTTGGTTAGGGTTTGGGTTTTCATAGAAGTTAGCTTCGTGAACCTTTCTCGAACGTGATCCATCCGCACTAGGAGTGACTGTCTTTCAGCGTGCTGGAGGAGTTGAGCTTGGCAGTGTATGGCTTCGCAGTTTTTGACCCAGAAGCCTGAGCAGTGCTGCCAGGCAAAGCCAGAGGATTAGAATTACCTCAGCCCCTGCCCTTTCCCTTGGACTTGCCACCACCACCACCACCACCTTGACCCCCAGCCGCAGGAGTGCCAGAAGCATCTCCAGACGACTTGCTGGAGGGTGGTGGATTAGCGACTGCATGCTCTGCAGCTTTCTCAGCCACGCAACAATGATAGCGTAAATCAATCTGCAAGGCGAGAGCCTTGAGCCCGGCATGGGTAGCTGGAAGCTGGATCTGCACAATGGTGTCCCTGATGTCACTAGGAAGGCCCTTGTAATATGCCCAGAAGAGGGGGGCATTGTTGTACCCAGTCATAGCTGTGTGAGTGTCGAACATGAGCTGGTACTGAGCCAGCTGCTCACCCAGCTTCATGAAAAGTGTCTCCAAATAAATCTGTGTGTCCCCAAAGGGGTCGTGTGGACTGAAATTGGTCGCAAGCTCCTGAACAAAAAACTCCCAGTTCCTATCCCAGGGCAGAATAGGTACTTGACCGCCCGCAAAGATATTGGGCTGGAACGACTGTTGAGTGGTGCCCCAGAGATATAACCAGACATAGAAGATCTTTGCGTTGTTGGTTGGAAAGTCTTGAGGGTGCTCTGTGATGTGCAAATAAATCTGCGACATGAAAGTGGCAAGCTTTGTCGGGACCGAACCATCAAATGTGTCCGGAGCCTTGGAAGCGGTATGAGTGGAGCGAGGAGGAGCAACAGAATTCTGTGTGAGGAAAGCCATTGCCTGTGCCATTTGCTGCATGGCAAGATCAAGCTGCAGGTTGTTCGAAGTGGGAATGTGAATGGTTGGGCCCGGAGGACCTGGAGGCAGAGTCGGACCAAAAGATTCACCACCACTACTGCTACCAGGTCCAGGATTAGGTGCAGGTGTGCTGGAGCTAGATGGTTGAGCTGGAGGATTACATTGGCCAGGCATCAGAATCAGAAGCTGGATCTGAGATCTCAGGTTGTGTGGCTGCGAGGTAAGCAACAGAGTGTCCATCGGGACGGGGCAGGAGGGGTCGAGATTGGAAGTGGGGGAGGCTGGAGCACTGGTCTGAGTCCGAGTCTATGCAGAACTTTTCAATCTTGACCAGTTGATCCCTTAGATCCTTTCTTCTTCTGTAAGGGCAACCTTAAGCTTGGCACGGAGGCACAGAAACTAGCAGGGGAATCCGAAGAGAAGAAAGGATGAGGATTCCCACACTAGTTGAAGAGTTATAGACTAATAGGTACTAGCCAGTAGCATGTGTCCAAAGGGATCTACAATGATCCTGGGCTCAGTTGCATGACACATGCCAGTGCAAGCGACCAGAGGGAGTGGAAGTGGACAGGACAGGACTGAGGCCGGAGGGATGCAGGGAAACCTTCTGGGCAGAGTGGATGGAGAGGCCAGAGTGAACAGAACCGATGTTCTGGGCATTAGGCAGAGCAGACAGATCTGGATGCGGCACCAGACGAGGAGCCAGACAAAGGGCCGGACAAAAGGAGCTGGAAGAGGAGATCCCTGACATTTCCTGGCTCAGTTGGTTAGGGCCACAGGCAAATCAAGTTTGAGTTCTGCTCTGTCTACTCACCGTTATTCCCACACTAGGTGAAGCATTATAAACCAATAGGTACTAGCCAGTAGCACATGTCCAAAGGGATCTACAATGATCCTGGGCATGGTCGCATGACACATGCCAGTGTGAGCAACTGGAGGGAGCCAAAGTGGACAGGACCGAGGCTAGGGCAACATTCAGGGCAGAGTGGAGGATAGAGGGGCCAGAGTGAACAGAACCGAGGCCAGAGGGACAGAGGGCAACATTCCGGGCATAGGCAGAGCAGGATGAGGCACCAGATGAGGAGCCAGACAAAGGGAAAGGGGTGCTTCCTTGGCTCAGTTGGAAGAGCGTCAGTCTCATAATATGCGTGATCTTGTGTCATTTCATCTGAAGGTCGTGAGTTCGAGCCTCACAGGGAGCATTACTTTTGTTTTGCAGTGCTTTCGCACTCGTTTTGGTCACTTAACACAGGTTTTGAGGTTGCCAGTGATGAGATCAAAGAGAAAAGATATTCCACTTGTTGTGTTTCCCGAGCCCACGGAGCAGGCAGTAGATAGCTGGAGGTCCGGGATCCCTTCTAAAGAGACACAAATCAAATTTGAGCATATTTTTGGATCTTTTTGCTTCTTCCATTTTTCTGCCTTGGGCCATGAGTCCAAAGTTCCCCACCACGGAGTGCTCGAACCTAAACATGTATTGCTGACTTGAGGCATATTTGAATCAAGCACCACTTTGTTTGACTCAAGGGGGAATCGGGATTCAAATTTTGTACATCAGGTCGAATCCAGCCTAAAATGGCTGACAATTGATTTCTGATTTTTTAGAATTTTTCAGATTTATTGCTGAAATTTTCCCCCTGTTTACGGGGAGGGGGTCTGGACTGATTTTTTTCGAAAAACACTCTAATGGGTGACTTCCCGTAAGATTTAAATATTCCAACAGATTTTTTGAGGGTGCCAATGATGTGATCAAACGAGAAAGATATTCAGGCCATCCATGTTTTCGCAAGAAAGATAATAGGTTTATACAATGATGCAGGACAGAATCCAACCACCTGCAACCAACTTGTTACGCCCGTGCATCTCCGACCCTATCCGGATCCGTCCGGACTCGTCCGGCTTCATCCGGATCTCTCCGTCCTCCGTCCGGATCCTCGGATCCGACTTCCCTTCCTTCCGGACGTGTCATCCGAACTCCGGCTCGCGTCCGTATCATTCGCTGTTGCGTCCGGCCTTGGTCGTTGACGCACGCCCTCGGGGTTTTTACGCAATGAAGAATTACTGAGCGTTTCCCCTTCTCTGACCATATGACTTATGCTTCACATGTACTCCTTATTGTCTTTATTATCTTCGCTTATTCCTATTGTCTTAACTTCTTCTCCGAACACATCCGGACTATCTCCGTACTTAGTATAAATACGTACTTACTTCGGATGTAACCTTAGTTGATAATTAACGTGCTTTGCCTCCGCATTGCTCCGTCGTCCGACCTCTGTCCTATTCTCTATCCGACCTTCGGAGCCAAGTTAATTGGTGTACCCTTATACTCTTGTGGTATCGCTTTACATCCGGACCTTCGTCCGGCCCCCTGACACATCGTCCGGCCATCCGTCCTTCCGGCCCTTCCGGCCGTCCGTCCTTCCGGCCGTTTCCTTTTCTTTCCGGACACAGATATAACAGTATTATCAACTCAAATTAATTTGGCTTCTTCCCATGTCTTACGCTCACCTCGTTCCCACTCCGGATGTAGGCCAAGATCGTCGTCGATCGCGCCAGTTCAGCGCCATCGTTCCGATTCAGGCTCCGGGCCAGCAGCCCGTAGAAACTACCTCTGGTTTTCAGCCACCCATGCTCTCACCACCTATTGACCCTCGGGTTCAACGGTCCCAACGCATTTTCAACCGGATGCGCGTGCTCTTCGGCCGCATGCTCCGGCCATGTGGTCAAGACCGCTTCTCGACCCAGAAAACCGTGGAGCTGCTTTCCGGCAGTTCAGCCAATCTCCGGTCGGTTCACAATACCCCGGATCGATTTACCCCGAGGTGATGGATTTCAATGAGTATGAACGTGGCTCCGGTACTGGCATATCTTCTCCTACCCCAGATCGTCGTATGTTTCATCATCCGGTCCACACTGCTACCATTGTGGAGGTACCGGAAGAGGTCGACCCATTGGAGACGACCGAACCGATCGCTCCGATTCCTCCGATCTATTCCGGGCAAACAATGTTTGTCCCGCCATCGCCTACTACGATCGGCTCTCGACCGCATACTGCTCCGCCGGCTACTCCGGCTCCGGTCGACAAGGGTAAAGGTAAAGCCAGTGGAGGACAAACTCCTGACCCTACTGCTCAACCACCCACCAATTTTCCTTCCGGCTCTACTCCGCCCCCGCCTGCGGGCCCTTCCGGTCCTCCTGGACCTTCTGGCTCTCCTGGTGGCGGTAGCGGTGGAGGTGGCGGAGGTGGAGGAAGTGGAGGTCCGCCCCCGGGCGGAAATCCTCCCCCGATTCCAAACCCTCCGGTTCAACCATCGGGTTCCGGCGCACCCGCGCCTAATCCAGGACCTGGTGGCGGTGGAGGTGGTGGCGGTGGTGGTGGCGGACCATTTGGTCCGGCGCTGCCTCCAGGTCCTCCAGGTCCTCCCGGTCCCCCCGGACCTCCGGGTCCGACAATTCACATTCCCGCTCCGAACAACCCGCAGCTCGATTTCGCCGTGCAACAAATGGCACAGGCTATGGCTCTCCTCGCACAGAACTCTGTCGCTCCTCCTCGCTCCACTCGTACCGCTTCGAAGGCTCCGGACACATTCGATGGTTCGGACCCGACGAAATTCGCCACTTTCATGTCGCAGATTTATCTGCACATCGCGGAACGCCCACAAGACTTCCCGGGCGACGAAGATAAGATCTTCTACGTCCGGTCGTATCTTCGGGGCACCGCTCAGCAGTGGTTTATGCCCAACATCTATGCGAGCGGTACCGCGCCCATTCCGCATTGGGATGCAAACTGGGGACTATTTGTACAGGAGCTCGCGACTAACTTCGGTCCGCACGACCCCTTCGGGGACGCCCGGATTTCTCTGGAGACGCTGTCGATGAAGCCGGGTGACCGGCTGGCTACTTACCAGCTCGAGTTCGACACTCACGCGGTTATGACGGGATACAACGAGGCCGCTCTCTTCCGGGCATACTACAGGGGCCTCCCCAGTCGCATCAAGGACACCATCGCGCAAAACCAGATTCCGGCTTCTCTTGTCGGACTCAAGGCTTACGCCTCGCAGATCGACCAGCGCTACCATCGTCGACAGGCCGAGAAAGCTGCGGAGCGCGCTACCAGCAATCCGCCACCCTCCGGCAAGACGTCCGGAGATGCCTCCGGCTCTCCTCCGGCCGGAGGACAGGGTGGTGGTGGTCGTGGTGGGAAGTCCAAGGGAAAGGGCAAGGGCCGAGGTAATTCAAATCCTCCGGCCAAGACCAATCCTCCGTCGACTACTCCTCCGGCTACGTCCGGCAACGCGGGTCAGGCCTCCGGGTCATCGAAGACTCCGAAACCGTACGCGGCCAAGCTCGACTCCTCCGGTAAACTCAAACCCGAGGAGCGCGAGCGGCGCATGAAGAACAACCTCTGCATGTTCTGCGGCGGTCAAGGCCACAAGACGGCCGACTGCCGGAAGCGTCCGGGCAATGCTCAAGGCAAGGCTGGAAATGTTTCTAATCCGCCTGCGCCTGCCGCTGATGCCTCTTCTACCCCCGAGTCAAAAAATTAGACAGCGGCTCGGAACCCTCCGCACCTGGTCCGAGCCGTGTTGACTCCGCGGTGCTTCCGGAGGTTACTCTCAACGCGTCCACTCTCTCTCCTAATGCCTTTTACGTCGATCTTGATATATCTTTACTCTCCGCGGACTTTATCTCTCCTTCCGGCATTCTGTCCGGTTTTCCTACTCCGGACGCGGGCCTAACCCTGCGTCCGTCTTTTGTACAACGAGTTGCCGCGGGATTCAACTCCCGCTTACGGGCGCTCATCGACTCCGGCTCTTCGCACTGTTTTGTGTCTACTCGAGTTTGCGAATCTAATGGGTATTCTCCGTACGCGGTCCCTCCGGTTAAGCTCCGGTATCTCGACGGCTCCTCATCTATTATAAACCGGCAACTGCATTTATTGCCCCGGTTTCCTTCCGGCGATGTCCATTCTATGGGATTTTACGTCACCCGTCTGGACTCTGCCTGTGACTTGGTACTTGGACTAAATTGGCTACGCCGCTACAATCCGTTGATTGACTGGCGCAACGCCTCACTAAAGTTCAGCCCTGTTTACGACGAGTCTACTGTGTCGACACACCCGGAGATTACTCCGGCCTTTGTTGCGGTCCCTCCGGTTACGGAGGATACGGAGCATCCGGCAACCCCGGCTCTCATTCCGTCTATACCGCTGACGTCTTCGCCCGGACCTGCTCCTTCTATGGAGATTCCTCCGGCACCGTTTCCGGCGCCACCCGAGGCCCCCGCGCCTCGTCCGTTCACTACTGCCCCGCTTGTGTCTATGGTCAGCGCTGCTGCTTTCCGCGCTATCATTCGCGATAAAAGCACCATCCAGTATACTCTGCGTGCTACGCCAACCGACGAGAGTTTAGGTTTTAAATCCTCGGCCGAGCCGGACTTCGCTAACTTGTCCGGCATTCCGGCCGAATACCACGACTTCGCCGATGTCTTTTCGGAATCGGAGGCATATAACCTTCCGCCCCATCGCGAGTTCGATCTGAAGATCGAGACCGTCGATGACGCGGAACCTCCGGTCGGTCCAATATATTCCCTTTCTCCGGCCGAACTTTTGGCGCTCCGGGAGTTCCTCGATCAGAACTTGAAGGCGGACTTCATCTATCCGTCTCGTTCCTCCCATGGCGCTCCTATCCTCTTCGCTAAGAAGAAGGACGGAAGTCTCCGGCTTTGCGTCGACTACCGTGGATTGAACCGTATCACGAAGAAGGATCGTCATCCGCTTCCTCTGATCTCGGATCTCCTCGATGCACCAGGAAAGGCACGTATCTATACCAAGCTCGACCTCCGGCATGCCTACCATTTACTCCGGGTCGCCCCGGGCGACGAGTACAAAACCGCATTTCGCTCACGCTACGGCTCCTACAACTTCCGGGTTGTTCCGGAAGGTTTGTCCAATGCTCCGGCCGCCTTTCAGCGTTTCCTCAATACGTTGTTCGCGGATCTGTTGGACGTCTATGTCGTGGTATACCTCGATGACATCTTGGTGTACTCCGACAATCCGTCCGACCATACCGCTCACGTCCGGGAGGTGCTTCGGCGCCTCCGGGAAGCTGGTTTGTATTGCAAACTTCCCAAATGCGAGTTCGGCGTCACTACTTGCGAATATCTAGGCTATGTTCTTTCTCCGGACGGTTTCCGGATGGCT